CCTTCTCAGCTAGAGGCATTAGCCATTCCGAGACTCAAAGGTATCATGATAAGACTGGAAGAAGAGGAAATGGGTCTCTGTGCTGCACTCTCCCTGGCTACAACAGTGGAAAAGCTCTCACGAACCGGTTTTGTGCAGGCAGGCTGTGTGGGATCTGCCCATCTCCATGGGACTCTGAACTTCTCCAGATCTATTTAACTCCGCTGAATACTTTTTTCTTTATTTTCTATCACTTGCCAGCACTTAAATGAACTGATACGGACTTTGCTTTGAGTCACTGACCTGCGTGGAACCAATTACCAGTGTGAACAATCTTCACGTTTTAAAGAAAGTGCTTCCCTGCCTTTTCAATTGATTGTATTGGCTCAGATTTGCAAAACAGCCATGTGCATTTCTATATAGAGCTTCAATCTTTCATTTTAATTTAACACTATATTTAAAGATTTGTCAAAGATTTCCCAGAGTTTTGGCAGTATCTGTGCAACCTTTCAAAGATAATTAGTCACACTATGTAAGAAAAAGGAGCCTTGGATTTCAGTAATGGGATTCAATTTTCCATGAACCTGCTTTTTAGAAAAAAAAAAAAAATATATATATATATATATAAAATAAATCCATATTATCTTTTATTATTTATTAAGTATCTGCATCTCAATGTGTTACGTACACCTTTTTAGAAACGCAAAGTAACGTCTCTTCCATGTAAGAGATGCAATGTACATAAACAAGTTCAATCGCTTTTTTCCTGTTTTGCATACATGCTTATCTCCTCTGTACAGATTCATATCAAACAGTCAATCAAGTGCTGTAAATATTTCTAAGTTTGGCTTGCTAATAATTAGGAGAATGGTTACTTATATATGTAACTTAAACCAGTCCTTCAAGTGGCATTTCTCATGCTATGAATGAACACATTTGTAAGAACTTAGCAGATATAGATGGGGTCTTAAGCCTGGCAAGCAGTAACAACATGAAGAAGAAAAATCTGAGGATCTTCCTTTTATAAGATACACTTGTGCTTCGCTTTTGCTGTGTCATCATTCCTGGATGTGGCAATAATGCACAGCATATACTGTGATTCAGAGTGGCTCATGAGAAAGAATATCATAAATCCGTCTCCGTATATATGAAACATATTGTAAGGAAAACCCAGCTCTGGGGGGGGGGGGGGGGGGGGGTTGTCCAGATCTTTTACTTATGACTCCTTGTATTTATTAGTTGCTATTTTATATAATTATTAGCTATTTCTTGATATTCAGATATATTACCAAGTTCATTTCTCTGTGGGAGTTGCTGAAAATTTGAACTTTCATTTTGTTATGAATATCAAACCATAAGTTTAATCAATGTTTTCTCAAAACATACGCTAGCCTAGAGATATCTCAGAATTTGGGAAGTGCCTCAGTGCAATTTCTTTCTGAGTGTTTTCTCTCTTTCCAATTATGCTCATGATCAGAAACACTGGTAAGAGCTCCTGTTGCTATGCTTCTGGTTTCTGGGAGAAGGGTGAAAAATTTCAGAACAATTATTAAAGAGCATGCTGATTGCTGAGTGTTGGGATGTTGTATCCATTGCAGAAGTTTCTTTGCTATTCTATGATTTTTCTTCTTTCATGATTATGGCTATTTCTAGATTTTCTTGCAAGTCCTTTAGAACTATTTTCATATAGTCAGCTACTCTTTGAGAACATAAGAGTGAATAGGAAAAGTAATCCAAAAGAGAGTAAGCAGTGCTTGAATGCCATCATATCCAGCTTAGAGGAGCAGCTGGCCTTTGAGAGAGAAGTGGAGTTTAAAGGCTTTAGCTCTTGGTCTCCAGTACTTTTCTTTCTCTCTGAAGTATCTGGTGTCAGGAACTGGAGACTTTTTTGCCTACTGATTTGACACACGTGTTGTTTCAAACAGTAAAACCCCTAAGGTTCATGAGTTTATTTAATATGGCTAGTGGTAGAAAAGTAGAATTTCGTTATCTGCTGTTTCAAAAGACCAAGAGCTGCCAACCTTCCTTCTGTGAGCTGAAGTATTGGGTGCAGAAGAATGCAGGCAGATAGCATCTCTGTAGGACAGCTATGGCAAAAGGTTGGCAGCAAGAAGCGTCCCCCTGTTCTGTAAAGAATGGGTGACCCAGTTGCCTCTTTCAGCAGCCAGTTGCTACTTTGCTTCCCCGCCAACCCAGACAGGAATTAGGAGATGTCCTTAGATATTTTTTTGCAGTCCTATGAGCTGTGAGAATGCTTTGGGTCAGAGGTGAACAAGGTTTAGAATTTTTCTATCCCATGTGCCACGTGAAGTTACAGAAAGCAGCCTGTCATGGTCTTAAATTGCCCACATCAACTTCCCATGTGCAAGGAAAGGTGTTGCTGTAGCCTGAGCCTCTGTGTTCTTCTGACTGGATTTAAATAGGTGCTTTAATCGGTATTGGCATTGTTCTTACAGGCAGTCCAGCCATGACTCACAGAAATCTGACTTCCACCAGTCTGAATGACATCTCTGACAAGCCTGAGAAAGATCAGGTAAGCTTCAGATTTGGACTTCGCTCAGTGATGTGTTTGGTTAGGAGCTGGGTATTGAGGAAGGAATAGTTGTACCAGAGATCTGAAGAAAAAGAAGAAAGTGAGCAAGGTGAGTCAGTTATTTCCAAGTCCTGTGACAGGTCTTACACTTCATCAGCCCTTGTTAAACTCTTGCAAGATGTGAGGCAAGTACCACCATGTATGGAAGCTGCCTGGCATCCTGCTAATGTCTGTGAGAAGGGAACGGATGGCATCCTGATCTTGATGTATCTAATCTGCTTCCTCTGAAAAGAGGCTCTTCAGGGTTTCAGCAGAGGTCTCACAGCACAGTAGCTCAGGTCAAGCAGCACACCAGGGTTTATATTCATAGGTGGGATGGAGTAGAGCCAGAGCATTGAGGGGGATGTGTCCCCACTACAGCAGCTGCTGTAATAGAACGTGTTGCCTCACCCTTTGTGGTGCTTCTGAAATACAGCTATGCTAAAAGGTAAGTGTGGAAGAACAGCTTCAAAACGTAGATGAATAAAAAGGTTAAAATTGGTCTTTAGTGCCTGCAGAACTGAACTCTTTTTTTTAACCAGTCTCCAAAAAATTTGTCTGATTTTTTAGAGTGATGTTTATGGTATTATCATATGGACTTTGTGTGTGTTCTTGTCCTTACTTAAAGCTTAAGAGTGTGAGGGGTGTAGTGATTCTTTGTGAACTCTCTGAAACCTGGTGTTTAAATGAGGTCTCTACACATTTCAAAAAATGTTCTTGGTTTATAAAGTGGGTTATTTTCAAAGCATGACAATTTGTTTTGGCAAACCTTTTTTTCCCTGCATCTCTCAACACTCTCTAGTCTTGTGATTATTCTGAATATGAATGAGAGTTACCCTAGGAAATTATTAGATAGTATATGCTCACCAGCTGAGGAAAAAACTCCAGTCCTTCGAATAAAGCCTGGTTGTATTCTTCTGGAAGTGGAGCTCTTCCATAAAGCAACAGAGCAACATAACTGTAGAAAAAATGAGTTCCGCTTAATTGAATGTGGCATACCTGTTTTTCTCCAGTCCTCCTGTCCTTTATTCCTCACCTGGCATGCAGTTTGTGCTACTGTTATTTTCAGATACTAAAAAGTATGTTATCTTCCTCTTCAGTATCTGAAAAATCCACACAAAGGAAAGAAATGGCTGGTAAGGCAAACAGCCCCATAATGTTGAATGTGCAGAGTTTATGTAATAGAGCAATGAAAAAAATTCCCTCTGGTACCTCCTTTAACATACGGAAAATACTTCAGTGGAAAAAAAAAAGTGCAGTGTGTTTTGCAGTATTTTTCAGTTGGAACATACAGCTGCATTTATTTTTTTCTCCAAAATACTTTTATGTACTTAGCCACACTCAAGGTAAGAGTAATTGTAAAATCGCTTTTTCACTGGAAAGACTGCTGGTTTACATTTTTAATTAGACTATAATTGGGGTCTTAGAGCGGCAGAAAACTAGGTCTGAATGTTGCAGCAGGCTTCTTAGATTTCATTAGTACAAGTGGTCTCAATTGTTCCTCCTACTGAAATGTCTGTGGACGTGTACAGATAATAGAGTTTTTGTCTAGAATTGTATACTAAAATGTTTTGGTGGGGCTGATACTGAGTTCTGCTAATAAATCCAATTTGGAAATGTGCTCCAAAGTTTTTAGCTTTCAGTATAGATAATACTTTACTGTTTATAGTGAAAACTGTTACTTTTAAACTAACAAGTTCCAAAAAGCCGCTTAGTTAATTAGCTCATGTCCTTCTGATGAACTTTGCACAATGGAACCCTTGTACTGTATGCTTGTTGAAGCTGGTCTGAGAAATCACCTTAGCTCTCAATTTTCATTACTGATTTACTGAAACTCCTGTCCTGATAAAATCTGTGAGACTGTGATGATGCCTGGCAAATTTCTTGAGCAGAAGTTAGCATGCTGTACAGGCACGAGGGAATAATTCATGGTGTTATGACAACAGGAGCTGGAAAGAGAACAGATTCTTGCCTTGACATCAGAGTGACTGGCTTTCATTATCTTCGTATCCCATCTGGAAACCTGACAGTTAATGAGGCCATACAGTGAGATATCAGTCTACTGAAGAAAGAGGCTGTGCTGTTTTCTGTTTATTTGTGTGTGTGTGTGTATGTGTATCACAGGTCAGTTTGTCTTTAAACTGTGACAGTATGAAATTTGTTGGTAACAATTTCTTGGAGTTATACTGGGACCAGATCTTTTCCATCAAACATTATTTTTGCATGTATAAAGGAGAGTATCGTGTGTGTGTGTTTTAAAGGAAAAGAAAGGCTTTGAACAAAGTTTAATATAGCATCAATAATTTTCCTGCCTACCTACATCCTTACTTTCAATTTTGCAATCTTTAATACTAATTGGAACGATGCCATTTACAGTAGTGACAATAAAACCAGAATCTCCTTTTTATCTGTTTTTATAGGTTTTTACTGAGCAGAAAGACACCTTGGTAGAATTAAAGTAGAGAGTTCTGGATGCTCTTTCTTCAAAGTGCGAAGTGTACAGCTCAGATGATGTTTCCTGTCTTTCTCCCTTCTCCAGTACTTTGCCACTTGGAGAAGTGGTGGTGATGAATGCTTTGGAATTACAGTATGGCCCCAAGCCCTCTCTTAATGAGGTTTGAGAGAGCAGGTTTTGTGACTGTCACACAGTATTATGTGGAAAAGGATGTGGATCATCCTTTGGAGCAGCTCTTGCCAGCGGGTCCTGGACTCCCCTTGCTAAAAGCAGCTTAGCACCTGAAAGTGGCTGTACTTTTCAGTACTTTCAGCTTACCTAGGAGTATCTTTTTACCCAATTTCAGTCTTCAACTCCAGGGATCTTTAACTTTGTGCATCTTGAGAAGCTGTGTCTCCACTCAGCAGCAGTTCCATCACATGCTGTTGGAAAAGCAGGCTGATCCTGGGTACCCACCTGCTGTATTTCCCGGGGTGTTGTAAGGTCTGAGTGGAAAACTGGTGTCTTCTGTTGTATGATCCTGATATTTCTTTGCAATGTGTTTGCAAAGAAAATCTCTCTGGAGCCAAACCTGGTGCAGATCTCTCTTGGCAGTCTGCAGTTGCCACGCCACCAACAGGTCATTTGTCTTCAGCAGGGACCTTCTAGATTGAGAGAAGATGGTGGGTGAGTCCTCTGCAGGCTCTGTGAATACTGAGGGGAGTGGTGGGGTGAGTTTTGCCATAGATGTTAAGATTATGAAGTGGGGATGTGACTGCTTTCAATACTGAATTGTCAATTTCAACTCCTTGTTCCTAATAACAGGGGATTTCCAGTGGTAGGCTTTGAGGTTGGAGTGAACAAAAGGTCAGAAGAGGACACTGGGGGGAGGGAATTTTCTGCAGAAGAGTGGAATGTGTTGGCATGTTATCTAATATATTTGATCGCATCTTTTCTCTTGGAGCTGGCCTATTATTGACAGTGGTGCTTCGATGTGGGCGCCAGGGCAATGCTGTTTTCTGGTGCTTTCTCATTGTTTTTGTTTAAGATAATTGAGCTAAGGAGCAGTAGGCAGGTGAAACCTCAGCTACAAAAGCAAAAGCCCAGATTGACCCCTCCTAACAAAGGCAGTGTCTGCTGTTAATCCTGGTCTCCTGAGCTTATTTTTCAGTCCCTGTGGAGAGCAGGGATTGCAGAGTCAATTGAGGTTTGAGGTGGGCTGGTTACCTCTTGCGTAATTGCCTTGCTACCTGCAGAAGCAGCTCTGCTATCAGACAACAGCTAAGCAGCTTGAGCTAGGACAGATGTATTCATGCCTTCATGGATCTGTGCCATGACAGCAACTAGGTGATGTGCAGTCATAAAACAGAGAGGTGTTACAGCTGCTTGGATTCTAGCTGAGGGAACATCAGAGAGGTGTGCTAGGAAGCATTGGACAGTTTTTAGGTTTTCTTTGAGATCTGTTAGAGGATGCCTTCCTTGAGGTTTGTCCTGCCCTGCAGAATCATTGCAGGAAGCTGAGAAAAGATACCAATATTCAAAGGCAAATACGTGGTGGAGGTTGTAGCAGCTGGACCATGCTCTTCCAAGAGCAGAGGAGAACAGTGTCTGAGGCAAGTGAGTGAAGATGATAATTCTCTGCTTTCTTGTCACTGAAACCTCTATATGATGAGGAGCCAGGCTCTACTGCACTGATCCTGAACCTGCCTGGATGTTCTGCTCAGCACTCTGGGTTTCTCACAGAGCGCAAAGATGGATTTTGAAGACTGACAGCACTGAGGATAGGAGCACAGCAAGAAAATATTTACAGTGGTCCTAGGACACACTGACGTGAGTACAGCAACTAGAAATAACAAGAGATAAGATTTAATTAAAATCCTACATAGCACTCAGACTTACCTGCAGTAAGCTTTGTGAGGTTGGTTCTTCTGCCCTTAGGGAAGGGATGGTTGTATGCTTACTTCGGATTTACTTTGATCTTGCTTTTGTTTTGCTTTTCTCATAGTCTTCGCTGTCTTAATACACTTTCAAGAGTTAATCTTCTTACGGGGTAACCATTAAGCTGTTATCTGAGGTAAAGAAAATGAACTTAGAATCTGCCTCGGAAAAGGATGCAGTCAGGAAAGGATGCTTGGGCTCTTCCCAGAAGATCAGCAAGTGCTGCCTATTCCCTAAGTGCCAGGGTAAAGAGCCATTAGCTAGAGAGGAGAGGAAAGGAGCTCCTTGCCTGAAAGGCACTGAAGGAGCAGACACAGGCTTTACTTACAGCCGTTTTTTCCCCTCAAAGAATTCATCAGTAGCCTTGCTGTTAGCTTTGGAATCAGCAGCATCAGCTCAGTCGTGCTATTGCTGAACTTTTCTTAAGGCTTCTATCCTATGTATTCTATCTGATGCAGCTTTCTGCAGGCCTCCCGGTCCGAAAGGAGAGTTTAATACATGGTGTAGGTGAAAGACAACATTTTAAATATCGTGGCACATTTTTTCCCATTTGATTTGCAAAAAGCAAACAATGTCAAAGCTGAAACGAGAAAAGAAAGGACTAGTTAGCAAAATGTAGAGTTTACACAAATCTTTAACTACTGGATGATTTGTTGCAGAAGTTACATTGATCATATTGATTCAGCTTGCACATGTCTGTGACAGACAGAACATGGTGTGCACTGAACTCCACTGCATAATACTGGCAGTTACAGCTTGTGGCCTAGGGAAAGGAGTGTTAATAGAGCCTGTGTTTCTGTAGTGCAGAGTCAGGAATGGTCTGGCAATGTTGTGTGCGGACATCCGAACTGTGCTGTCCCTGCTGTGTTGTTAGTATGTGGGCTAATGTCAAATGAAGCTGCTTTGCACCATGCCTGAAAACCCTTGCTCACTGTGTCCTGATGTCTTTGGATTTTTCTGAGGCACATTGTAATAACCAGAAAGATCAACACAATAGGATGGTGATGCAGAAGGAGTAATGACAAAGAGACTAGCATGATGGAAAGGTGTTACAAAGTAAAAGTCCTTACCTGTCTGTGAAGATCTAGGCTTGCAAAGGAAACTCCACAAGGGAGGGATCTCTGACCAGAGACCCTTCCACAGTGACAGTCAGTCCTTAAATGAAGTCTAAGAGAGGTGCAGCCAGGCTCCACCCCTTCTGGTCACACAGGTGAACTGGTGAACTGCCTTCACCTGCGCTCCCAGGGCTGACTTGGTCCTTTCCCCAGCTGCTCAATCAGTAGTTCAGACTGTGACTCGGCAGTTACCATACACACATTCAGTCTTGAATTCATCTTACACTGTTATTTCAAGGCATCTACTGATCACCAAGGTACAATAAACCTTTTGCCAATCAAGTCTCCAGCTGAACTTGTAGGATAAAAGCTACAACAGGATATTTAATGATCACTACTGGGAGGTTTTTGGGGGCAGAAGAAAAGAGAAAGTAGGCTTTTGTTCCCTTTTTTGTTCCACTTGGTAAGCATGTTGTGTTGCAGATCTAATAACTGGAAAAAAGAAGGGAACTCCAAAAGAAGTCTTCCCTTTCCTCCTCCAGCACGTATGGAAAGCTTGTCCTGTAGCTAAACAAAAGGTGGAACAAAATCTGTTGGTAGTACTAAGCACTTAGACAGCTCTGTGTGATTAGCAGTGTATTATTAATGAAAACTGAAGTTAGATAATTTGCATGAACTGTCTCCTCTCTGCTATGAGAGTGATGGTTCATTCGTTGCATTCATTTAGATTGCAAAAGAGACTGGTTCAGCACCCTGAGTGTCTTTCAGAAGTTGCCGTGTCCCTGACTCAGACTGCTCTGACGATAAATAGCTTCAATAGAGGACAATGAATTTTGATTTTGCTATTTTATCATGGTGCTTTTTTCAGGATTGCTTGATATTTTGGCCATTTATAAGGATAAATAAGAAAGATAAGGTGTATTCCATTTCATTGCATTTGTATTGGCAAAACACTTCTTGAAGTAGCAGTGTGGAGAAGTGATTTGCCTTCACTTGTCTTATTTTATGAGGTGTTGGCTGCAGTTGGTCATTTTCAGCTAGATAGGTGAGCAGAGGCAGCAGGACTTACGGACAATTTCTTTTCTGTATTCCAATTGCTTTGATCTGGTCTGCAACAGAGTCTAGTTAAAGCAGGTGCTTCTGGTGGATTACCCAACTGAGGGAAGGCAAGGGGAGATGTACACATGTATATTCTAACTGCTTGTGCTAGTCTGATTGGATACTGGCATCTTGCTGCAGCTGTGAGCCTGGCTGTTCCAGATACAGGAGGTGGAGGAGTTTGTACACCTTGTGCAGAAAAAGGACAGGAGTGCTGAGAGTACACCTTGAAAATTAGGGTTAGATAATAAATAATAAATTCAAAATGATTGTCTTTGTGCCTTAGATTATTAAAGCAACTGTGGTTAGAAAGCATCATGTTTATATTGATGCTTCTGCTGTCTTACATGCATGCTAGCCAAGTTACACATCTTATGTACTCAATGCAAATAAGCCTTTCCAACATGTTTATGTCTCTCAGCCATTTCCTAGTTTTAATTGGTGTTGTCTGAACTCCTGCCAGCCTGCAAAGCAGCCTTTTGTCAAAGAAAGGAGCTGTGTGGCTATGACAGCTGAATCCTGCCAGCAGCATCAGGTGAGGGCCTGCACAGAGGCATCCCAAACTGACTGCCTCCTCTTTGTAGCTGGTGGCATTCTACACTCCTGTCTGAGTTTATTAGAGCTTTGCCTGCACTTACAAGGGTTGCCAGTGTAATTATGCCATACTGGCAATTCTGCATTGCAGATTAAAGCCTCCCCAGCCTGCAGCCATCTGGATGACCCACCCTGGTGAGAAGCAGTCCTGCTGCTGCTGCATGCTGTGCACACTAAGAGATCCATACAGCTTTGGGGAAGCTCTTTGCTCAGATCTGTGTTATCTTTTGCTGTGTCAGTTACACTTGTGCAGCAGTGAGAGCAGGTATCCATATCAGCCTAGTGGCACCTTTGGCAGCCACTATAAGAATGTTAAGTCTGTTCTGTTCTGGCCCTGGTTTTAGTGCCCATATGTTCAGTTGCACTGTTTCTCTCCTGGCACAGCTAACAATGTCTGCTTGCCCTGTGAGATTTTACTGGTACTCCTTTTCCCTCTCTCGGATTTCCAGTGCGCTTACAGACAAAATTTTCAGTGCAGTTTTCAGCTTTCTAGCCAGATTCCAACTATGTTCCCACACATGGTCCCGGAGCTGCAGTGTCTGAGCTTCAGGAGAATGTTTATAAAGGTGTCCCCACATGATTAATGCATGGAAATAGTGGCTTTGCTTACGTTTAGTATTTCTTAAACTGTGCTTGGGATGAGTTCTCACTTGGCAGCATACCTTCAATTTTCACTTGGTTTATCCCTTTTGAGACTTTTCAAACTACGTGGTGCCTGCATCCGGGTCAAGGGCTCACAGTCTTGTTGCGAGAAGGAAGAGGCAAGGCACTTAGCTTGCTGCTGTGTGGGAAGCAGGGCACAACTCTCTTATCTCCTCAGTCCCCACTTACTCACGGAGTATCGTATCTCCACTAAAGCAGGCTGTTGAGGAGAACAAGGTTTTCTTGGTTTTTGCAACACTTTGCAATTTGTTTTCATGGTGCTAAGATATAGCTTTGTCAGTTATCTTTTGATTCCTCTAGTCTTAATCATTTGAAAATACTTATTTGTATTTCAACTGAGAGGGCAGTTACCTGTGAATGAAAGCTATTTAGAAAAGTCAGGGCAGAGCCATTCTGAGCCCCTTCATTGCTGTAGGAAGCTGGGGATGGTGTGCTGTTCCCAGTACTGGTACTACTTCTGTTCCTTGTCCTGTGAGAAGTCCTCTGGTCATGCTTTGTTGAAATGTCCTTGGCAGCTCTGAATGGGTGAAGCACGAGGACATTTTTAATGCTCAAGATGAAAAATAAAGGGAACAGTTAAAGAAAATCTGTTTTTATCCAGGACCTTTTATTGCTGAGCTGATGCACAGCATAAACAAAATGAATAATATATAGGAGATGTTTACTGACCTAGTGTTATATCCAGTTTCAAAGGCTTTGTATGTGGGGACAAAAAGGAACTCTGAATGAATATGGTCAGTTGGAATATTTAGTCAGAGAGAGGCACAAAACCCTTCTTATTTGTTGTGGTGTGTGCAGTGCTTATTCAAATGGGTGTTTCCATATCAACAGGAAACCTATGCCAAAGCCAGCTCTAAAGTTAAAAAAGAAATTGGCCTTGTTGAGAGAAATCTTCATGCCTTTCCTAGGAGGACTGATGGGATCCTACTGTTTGAAATGAAGTCCATTGATTAATGGTGAGAGCAGTTCATTGCTTTTCCTGTTTGAACAACATCTCCTAATCTCCGCAGCCACAAGCAAAGATTGCTAATTTCTATGTCTGTCAACTTGAATGACCTACTTTCACTCCATGGAGCTCAAATGAAAATAACTATCTTCCAGTATAGTTTGTTGCCACCTTTTTTAAAAGACAGGAAATGTTTCTAGGAAGTTTAGTTAACTGGAATTTCATTTACTTTGGCCTTTTGTCTTGATGCATAGAACAGTTTTGCTTGCGTAGTTTTTCCCTACAGTGTCAGCAGAGCACGTTTCGTGCATTCCTTGGTGATGGAGTTCTGTACGTAGACAAAACACAGAGCATTAAAGGTATCCTTTTAGGTAAGCATTCATGGAAGACGCATATGTAGATGGATTCAGAAAAAAAGAGACATAAAAATTCCTGGGGGATTTACTTCGCATACATACTCCTGCACAGAGTAAACAAAGTGGAGCCAATTTTTACACAGGCTCTGATAAATTATGTACCCCCTTCCCTCTTTTTCATTTATTTCCCCTGTAACTGTGGAGTGGTTTGTTCCAGTGAGCCTTTGTTCACTTGACCTCATCTCTGCATGCTCTCAGGCAGTCTGTTGCTGCCTGGCAGACTGGAAGATTCTTCATGTTGCGCTTAGCTTTGATGTAACAGGAGTTTGAGGAACGGGATCCTTTTTCCCTGTGATCAGGGACCGTTAAGCCTTCATTTAGTTGTACAAAGCACTGTGCATGCAATTAGGCTTTCTGTGGTAATCTGTATCATCAGTGCAGATTTTGAATGCTCAGATTTTGCTGTGCACAGGGAAGAGCTCCTCTTAGTGGAGCTGAGTGAGAGCTCCTACCTTGCACAGAGGAGGCAAATTAACTTTCTTCTGAGATTATGGGGAGCAGCACACTAGGGAACCCCAACCTCTGCCTATACCAAGGCTGTGCCTTGCCTCTGACACCAGCTGCAGCACCTTGTTGGGCCTCCTGCTGCACCATGCGCCATGTAGGAGTGGGAGCCTGTGGAAAAATCATACCCTAACCTTCACATTGGTTCCTTCCCTTCTTTTTGGCCCTAAATTGAACGCTGGCTATTTTTAATACCGTGTTGCTGGAGGGTATAGCGAATGCAGAAATGCTGCATGGTTGGGTGAA